CTAATCTAATCTAAACCAGCTAATCAAGTTCTTGCTAGATATGAAGCAAGTTGGAGCTAAACTCAGCTCCCTCCGGGACCGAGTTTGGTCACCCCAGCTTTATATTATATAGACGAATTCCAAATTTCATGATCACTTGCAAGAAAACTAAAACAAACACAAGCTCAACCATACTTGCTTCTTGACGTGAGAACAAACCTTACTGGTTCTTTCATTTGCTGCTTGAAATGCAAGAATGAGCCTCATTGGTTCTCATGCATTAAGCAAGCATGATTATGTTTGCTTGACTGAATACTGTAATCTGATTACTTTTTTAATGAGAATAAAAGCCTAAATTTTTGCATCTTATACAATGATCCAATCTCTTCATCTCTTAATCAATGGTTTGAAGACTCTGAAGATGAACAAATTTCATCACATTTTATTTTGATGGTCTGTTTGTTGAATTTAAGTTATATTGCATATACATGCCAAGTACTTCTCATTAGATTCTGAATAGACTGTTAGGTTGGGGTTGGGGTTGGGGTTAGTGTAAGTTGGCATGTACTTGCAAAGTTTCTTATAGTCAGTTTAATGTCTGTTGAAGGAGCAGTATCAACAAATATTAAGAAGACAGCCTACTAATACTCAAATGGACCTAAAAAAATAAAGTGTTACCCAAATTTCTCATAGAATGGCACATGGGTAAATGATAACAGACTTTGTAATTTGGAGTAAACTACCTCTTTAAATGTAGGGAGAGCATGTCCAAATAGTAAAACACAAAAAAGCCACAGGATTAAAGGTAATAATGTTTGGTTCATGCGCTGACTGATCCTCCAATAGACCATTAAAAGGTTTTAATTTAGTTTTCTTGTACAGTATATGTTGATTTGATTCTTAAAATGCAGCTACTTGCAGTTTATGAATCCCCAAAGAGCATGTTTGATGTTTGTAATGTACAGCTGAAGTAAAAAAAAGTTAGTTGCTAAAACTTGGGTGAAATATTCCAAAAACTTTTGAAGTAATTTTCTAATAATTCTTTCCAAAACTACACAATGTGATAATTTACAGAGATGCTGATGTAGTAGACAAAAGTGAGCGTCCACCACAGGCTGAACTGCCCTGCTCCACCAGCAGAGGGAGCGACTGAGGCCTAGGCATCAGCATTAGTCTGTATGTGCCACAGTGAGTTAGCAGAGCTCCATACAATGACCATGCTGTATTACAGAAAAGGGGGCTTACTGCTAACACTTCACCTCTACACCACACTTCCACAAACACACACACTTCAACATCACACACACACACAGAGCGCAGATTTAGCATCAAGCCACTGACTGATTGCTTCAGACACTGTCAACTACTGAATGACTGAGTGTGCGTGTGTGTGTGGAGCTGTCAGTGGGGCACCAAGAGTGTTTTTTAGAGTATGTGTGCAGTGATACGTAGCAAACACTGGCTTGTCCATCATCATCCATTACCCTGACAAGGAGAGAGATTAATGACCACGGGGTCAGCGAGGGGCGCCTGCTCGCCTCCCTCCCTCCCACACACACACAGTCTTTGAAGCAAAGCAGGGTGTGCTGCACACACAAAACCAATAATGTATACAGTATAAACTAAGTACAGCAGAAAAGGGGGAGAGAGAAAGATCTGGATTAATCGTCGTTTTCCCAGGGAAGTATTGTGGTTATTCTCTTGCAATTCCACGTCCTTTCCATTTACTCATGGTAGCATATTGAGTTACGCAGTGCTGTCAGGTCTTTCAGCAGTGTTAAGTCGCCGTTTGAGCTTGAGGGCAGGTTTTCATTCCAGCTCTGGACTTTCTCCGGCTTTCAATTCGTTCCCTATGTCTATCCTCGGCTCACTGTGGACATTACAGACCCTGAGCCACACGGAAATGATTTTAAGTAGATTAATATTCACCCTACAGTCAATCGACTGCTTATATGGATAGAAAATGAGCCTTTTTGTGACTGCTGGAGATTTTAATTAAGCAGAGTGAAGTTAGAAAAGCGTGAGTACGATGTTAGCATGAAGTTAGCATTGCCAAGGTCACGGGATTGAGTCCAAGAAAACATACATACTAATAAAATCGCTAGAATTTGTCAGGTTGGATTGAAGCATCTTCCAAATGTCTTTTGGATAATCTCCTCTGTGTACAAAAAAGCAGTTATCCTGGTACTAGCATGTTAGCATCTTGTTTTTAAAACTCAGCAAAGCGACTGGATTATGAACCTGTTAAATAAACCTGTTGTTACTTCCAACATCATTGGATCTTGGTCCAAAATCTGCCCTCAGAACCACCTTTAACATAAATCTCGTCATTGTCATGAGTGTGGCGAGGCGATACAAAATCTCTGCTAGATTCATTAAACAAAACTTGGCAGCCACTTCAGTTATTAATTTCTATGCTGCTTGATGATCTTTATTATATTTGCATAATGACGGAGACTGCTGATAAGCAACATATCATGGCTAATGCAGTGGGCCTTAATTAAAAACAGCTCGTTAAGATGAGTGTGTTCATTACTGGGACAGATGGCTTCTATTAGTTCTTCTGCCATCACTCATCCTCATGTAATCACACACAGCGGCCATTTTGAAATGTCCTCCTCAATGAGCCTGAAGGTCTCACAAAGATTAAAGGAAGGTTTACTATACTACACTTATGCTCATTGCTTGTTTTAGTGTTAGCACTTTGTTCGTTAACTAAATCCTTGATGGTGTAACATGTCATGTAGGCTGATGCTAGGTCTCACAGCTAGCGAATAGCGATGCCATGGCACAGTCATATGGAAATATCATACACATATCATACGCATACATTCATATACTGATTTTTAACCAAAGTTTTACCCATTACCATATTTTTAGGGTAACCTACTAAATCTTCTTGGTATTTTAAGGTACAATCATAAGCCCTGGTACTATGATGATTCTATATCTTAATTTTAACATTTTTGAGTTTTTTTGTTAGTGTACAGTATGTATAATATATTTATCATAGTTATTTTCTAAGCATTTAATAAAGTATAATTCTACAACTTTGTAAGTGCATATAGAAATATATATATATTTTAAGATTAGTTTTTAATTAAGCATCGAATATAACAGTGTTATAAAATGCAGCATTAACTATTAAGCATCAAATAATATAATATAATATAATATAATATAATATAATATAATATAATATAATATAATATAATAATTGGATTTTGTTATTTGTGTATGTCAGTGATAAAGTTATACATGAAGGTAAGTTTTACAACAAGTTAAAAGTTTTAGTAAGTATGATGTTGTAGCTAAAACTATGATTGCCAAGGTCACTGTATAATGGAATTCCAACTGTTAGTGTATGTGCTAATGTAAGCTAAGCTAACAGCACAAGCCAAAGCTAACAGCAGCGCTAGGGCCTACAGGCCTGGACTCTCAGCCTAGAACGGTGACTCTGTAGGACAAATCACGTTCAGCGGCCCCGAGAGAGATATTACATCAGGTTAACTGGAAAGCAGTGTGTGTGTGTGTGTGTATGTGCGTGTGTGTGTGTGTGTGTTACTGCGGAACATTATTATCCTCTGAGTGTTACGTAGTAATTGTGCCTCGTGCTGTTCAATCGAACTGTCGCTTTAGCTTAGCCCTCTGCTCCCTGGCCTGACAGGTTCATACACACACACATTCGCTCAAGTACCCAAAGGCTGAGTAGACTTGACATAGGAGTCCTTGGAGCTTGGCAGTAGCGACTAGCCAATGCTGACTATGAGCTCTAATTATCCACTCTTCGTCCTCATCTTCCTCGTCATCGTTAGTGCCCGCTCGCCTTGTCAGAAGTAATCGGGCAGCCGTCACCTCTCCCCGCTGCCCACAGGGTTGTCAAGGCGACCGTGGAAAGGTCAACACCACGCAATTAAATCTCCCTGCGGTGGGCAGGAGAGAGAGGAGAGGAAGACGACGCTGACTGTGACACCAGGCCCCTAATGCCTTGCACTGTAGCCTACTTATGCTGCTCATCACAAGAACACACACACACGCACACAGACTCCAGTCCCTTCATTTATCCCCAGCCTCCTCCTATTTTCACCTCCACACTTTTTCTCTTTCATTGTGAAGGAATGGATGTGTTTGTTTGTCTTTCTCTGAGTAGAAAACGGACCGTATTCTAGATTACTACAAGATTAGACACAGTGTTCATTTGTTCAAAACTGTTTGCTTTCACTTTGTTTTGTTTGGAACTGCTTAAGCCAAGAGATCTGGGTTTCTCTCATTCTTTCTTTTATTTTCTCATTCTTCTCACCCTCTTTCCTCTGGTCGATCATTTGTCTTCGAGGGCTTCTTTTTGTTAAAAGGAGTGTTCACCCAAAAATAACAATTCTGTCATTGTTTACTCACATCCATTTTGTTCCGGTACTGTATATATTTGTATTGCTCATACTTTGAGGAGTTTTTTTTAATTAATCTGAGCAATGGTTCACAGCGCTGTAAACTCCAAAAAGTACCAACACACAGAAGAGGGAAATTAGAGTAGTTCATGTAACCACGTATAAAAAAGTATCTGTTCAATAACAGTTGCCTATAGTTTCCCAGAGGGAATTTGTAATGGATTTCCACAGATTTCTGAGCCCATCCTTGATCCCTTGAAGGCAAGTCATTTTACACGGTGGTCATCTTTAAAATACCTCTCGGGCAATATGCTCAGCAATTCTGTTTGAATGGGGAATCCAGCTCTCCAAAAACTGTTTGCCAAGCTTATGCTTTGTAACTGTAAAACCATGTGCAGTTTATTGAAAACTTAACCAGGCAGGCAATGGTCAAAGGGAACAAACAGAAGCATGAGGAAATTCCAAAAGCGTAGTCAGGTCAAAGGCAAATGGTCGATACAGGTGGCAGACAATGTAAACAAGGAAACAAAGCAAGGGCCAAACACGGATAGACCCAGGAAATGCTTAGAAATGTTAAAGGGTATAATCAACAAGACTCAGCATGGTGTGTTTGTGTTTGTTTGAGAGGTGTATAAATAGTCTGTAATTAGTCCTTAACAGCTTCAGCTGTATCTGTTTGCAATCATAGGGGATCCAGGCCAGGTGTGTGAGTGAAGTTCATGATGGGATTTGTAGTGCAGTTAAATGTGAGTGTTCTCCAGCAGCCTGCAAGAGCAACACATCAGAACATGGTTAAATTTTTTATCCGGAATCACAGATAAAGTTAAACATCAATCGTCTTAAGTTACAATTATGAATGTTCGAATCAAACTACATCAGCATTTTTTTCAGGTTGCACAAGCTAATACGTAGTCAAAAGAAGCGAGATCATGCCATGGCAGAAGAACAGCATATACTACTACGACAAAGATCTCCTCAGGTACAGGTTATGTGCTTTATTCAGTGTTAAATGCTCCCAATGTAAATTTAAATACCATTTTACATGACACTTACTGTAATACTACTTAAAGCAGTGCAAGATATTCTCAGATCTTGAAAATAAAATAACTAGCAGACGGCTTGAAAATTAAATATAGAACAGCGATTCAGTGCAAACCAACAACATCAGTCACTCATAGACCGTTAATAATGTTAAAGAGGTTTAATATGCTTAAATTAGATTAAAAGCCTTCATCATTGCGTTGGAAGTGCAGTGGCCGGTATTCAAATGTTTCTTTCATATTAAGTCACTTTTGGTGCAGACAGTCAAATTGCTTGTCACTGAAATCTTGTGTTACGTGTTGTTAGGTGTTACACTTTTCCCTATTCAAAACTATACAAGTGATATATCGTGTATATTCTATAGGCAATATGCAAATATTTCAATGATTTATGTGCAAAAAAAAGTTTGTAAAGTAATATTCTCACAATTTTAGTGGCTGTATAAGAGAGCTGCTCTAATATTATTTGCATTTTAAACCTTACATAAAAGAAGATATTTTTATTATTTTAATTCATTTTCCTTCAGCTAAGTCCCTTTATTTATTAGGGGTCGCCACAGCGGAGTTAACTACCAACTTATCTTTTATGCAGTGTATGCCCTTTCAGCCACAACCCAGTATTGGGAAACACACATACACTCTTACATTCACACACATACACTACAGCAAATTTAGTGTATTCAATTGTCCTATTGCGCATGTCTTTGGACTGTGGGGGAAATCGAAGCACCCGGAGAAAACCCACGCAAACACAGGGAGAACATGCAAACTCCACACAATAAGTCAGCGGATAATGTCTGTCTCTACCTATAGCTCACAAATCACAACAGTTTTCTGTTCATTTTCCATTTCAAATTGCATTTTGGGTCACTGATTTTAGCTCTTACTGTACATCTTTTGATGTTGAAAATGTATCTTTTGATGAAGTTAAAAGTTAATGAAAATAACTTAGTAGTCTAAAACTGCATATTGTGTAAATAATAATAATGTATATTGATGTTTAAAACCCGCTCTTGTTTTTGACCCATATACAACTTAAGCTTCAGCACAAACGAGATGATATAATTCTTTCAGTTCCACTCATAAACCTTTCATCTTTTGTTTTGTCCTCAGGCTCGACTGGTGCAGTCGCTGTGTAAAATGTTTTAAATAGTTTTCCTTTTGTGTACCATGACAAAAACCACAGCATACAAGTTCAGAATGACATGAAGATGATCAAGCAGTGACCGAATCTCAACTATTCATTTAACCTTCTGTCATGTAAGCCTCACACACGTCTTCCAGTCCATCTTTATTGCATGTAACCGAACACACACCTCTTCCTTTGATCAAAATCTCCCCTCTGACCTTCTTCTGCACACACACTTTCTTGTGACCTTGTTGGCTTTCTCTCCTCCCCTTTCCTGTGTGTGTGTGTGTGTGTGTGCACGGCAGTGACTAGCCTGACTAATGTGTGCACGGCCCCCACCCTCAGAGTGTGTGTGAGTGTGTGTCAGTGGCCAGCCTGACTAATGTGTGTCCTGGCCCCCACCCTTCCCATCCATCAGGCCCTGCACATTGTTTTGACGTCTAGTTAATTCTCGCCTGATGATTTATCAAACTCTTATTACGGCCCGCTGAAAGCCTCATTTATTGTCTTGATGTATGGTAATGATAGGCCTACTGCAGCCCTCCTGAATCTTAACTAACTCCTCTACTTCTCTGCCTCTCTCCCTCTCTTTCTCTCTGCTTTTATCATCCTTTGCTCTCTCTCTCTCCCCCCATCTCTTCTGTTCACATTAGGTCATTGCCAAGTGCTTTATCACTTTCTAAGTCATTGTTTCTGCAGTAATCTCTCTCTAGTTTTAATATCCTCTCTTTCTCTCTCTCTCTGTGTTTTAGTCGAATGTCTCACCACAGGAAATTATGTGCAAGATTATTCTGTTCCACCTGTGAGTGAAGCGGCTCCTCCATCTTTAGCCCATTACACCCAGTAAACGCCATAGATTTCCTCGCATAGATCTGGCCACATCGCATTAGCTTTATGTTAGTCTGTAAGGTCTATAGGCCATTGGTTTCCGTTTGGCCTGATCGCCGCTGACAGAGGATCAGAGAACTGCTGGTGTGTGCGACTCTTTGGGAGCATCGGATATCAGCTACAATAAATCCACAATGACTTTGTTACTGACACATAACAAAACACTCTGTTTAATAATTCACCATAGAGCAGGAATGCGGGGCTATTAGCTATTTGCTGCAATGCAATAAAAAGGCTTGTGAGAAATCAATACAGCCAGACTATTTCCTGGACAGTCGTTCGACCACGTTCTTAATGGATGTGCGATCATTATCGTTGCAAGCATGGTACTGTACAATGTGACTGCATTTTGGATTTTTTTCATGTTTAAGGTTCAAATCTGCATGTAGGATGTCCCATTTGATGATTAACTTGAAGAAGCCTCAGAGAATTATCTGCTAGTTGTTATGTTCTCAATTTCACATCCACTGGATAAACTTGCTTTCATACAACAAACAAGTTAAAGGTATATTTTACACCTCAATTTACTTATCATTAACCCTTGTTCCAAACCCATAAGATATTTGATTGTTCTTTGACTATGTAAATATGCATACTTCTCTACAAAGATGGTGAAATACAGTATGTAAAACAGCTACTTTAGTGCTATTGAACTTATTCTTGTAAGATTGGAATTTTATTGGCTCAAGGCTTCCAGTCTCATTCACTTCCAATGATTTTTTTAGCCATTAAAAACAGCAAATTTTTCAGCTTGATGGTGTAAACTTATATTTTCTTATTATTTAAAATGTTGATGTATTGTCCAGCCTGATCTCACAAGAAAACATAACTGCTTTACATTTTGTCAGTTTAGTGGCTAATTCAGTTCAGTCATATGAAAATGTACGATTTAAAAAGGAGGCATGGCACCCAACCGTACCCCTTAAGCCAATCGTCATTGGGGATAAGCAAATTGTACTAAATTGTATAATGAGATCATACGAATAGCGTTTTTTCGGTGAGATTGTATTGCTATTGTCATAAACACTAATGTTTGTAAAGCAAATAGCTTGATGATTTAGTGAATTGCCATTTATGAGTCATTTCACAATAGGCAAATGAATCAGAAGTACTAAAACAACCGCAGAAAAGAGTGCACTCCAAAATAGCAATAAATAAGGTAAATATGTTAAAATTTACAGAATGAACTAAAGGCAAAAAGTAATGGATGACCTGCTTCTTGCTGACCATATGGCCATAGACTAGTGATGGATTTGATTAATGGTGAAGTGATTCGCATGTGTTGTAAAACTACAGTCACACAATAGTTTGAGCTTACAAAATTCTTCATATGGCACTGTGAAAAGGAGCGGTAATAAACAGAATGAGTAGGCATTAAAAAGTGAGCGACTGCTCCAAATTTTTGTATAGAGAGGTCATGATTTGATCTTCTGTTGGTTTCATGCAATCATGTGATGCGATTTCACAGGTCAGAGTTTACCAAGCTTAAACGTTCGAATGCAGTAACATGCAAAATTTGTCGCGCTAACTTGCATTTCCAGTCTGTTGCATTCACATATCTATAGGGTGAAAAGTGCAGTGTGACTGCAGCTTTAGTCAAACATCATTAACATCATGACAGGTGTAGCTCATTTACACTGCATTTACACAACACAATTATACATAGAAAGTCATTTCTAACCTACACAGAAAATATGTGATTTTGGGCACCAATGTCTCTTATGTACTTGTTGTCTAATGTAGTCGCTGAAAAAATATTTATTACACTGAAGGATTCGGATTTCTGCCTTCCAATCCATCTCAGCATGAATCAACATTTATCCTTTTCTCATCATCCTGTTTCTAATTTTTTTTAAATTAAGAATAAAGTTACCACATTGCTTAATATAAGAATGTTCAGTGCATCTGCCTGTCTTTTTGTAACTATTTTCAGGAGCCACCAACTTAGGTTAAGAGGTCACGGAGACCTCGAGTGAAACGGAAGGGCTGAGGACTGGAAACAACCGTTTCTAGTGTTATTTCTATGAGTTAAAATGTCTAAAGTGATTTTGTAAGACCTTGATTAGCTTGTTCAGATGTGTTTGATTAGGGTTGGAGCTAAAATCTGCAGGACACCGGCCCTCCAGTAACAAGTTTGCTGATTCCTGGTCTAGTGGATGTCTGACGTTGATGCTTAAGATATTGTTCAGAATATTACGCACACACCCACGTGGAAATGTTCCTAGTCTATCTGTGTTTTAACCAATTAGGTAAGAACACCTATATGTATGACGCAGTTAATGACATTATGTGAGAGTATAATTGTTATTGATTTGTGATTTTAAGCAGAGCGGCCTAGGAACTCATTCTACTGATGAAAATGCAAACTATCTTCAGTAAACTTCATTTATTTATTTATTGGAATCTGACTCTGGTTCTTCTTCATCTGACAGACTGCTCATTATTTGGGTTAAAACAGTAAAAAAATCCCTAAAACACAGACTAACAATGTTTAATACAGGTAGAGTGTACTCTAAGCAAAACACATATCATTTGAAAGGTCTGACATTGAAGATTTCTTATTTGGTGACTGATTTGTGATGAATCCATAAAATCTGTAAATTGGGTGACACCCATTGGCTATTTTTTCTACAGTGCCAAAAAAAAAATCTCATAAACCTTGATTTTTGTAGCATAACTTAAAAATGTTAAAATTAATAAATTATACACATAAACTATAAAACATTTAGTGTAGTATTTTTTTACAATAAACTTACACTATCATTTTTTAAATGCTGTTCATTTTCTTTAAAAAGAGGCTCATAAGTTCATAAAGGTTCATTTGAACAAAGTAAAAGGAACAACATACTGGGAAGACCATTTCAATATTCTAAATAATGTTGTCCATTGTAATAACAGTTATACAAAAAATATATAATTCCATTATCAAAAAATCCCGTGGTTCCAAGAGACATAGATACCCATAAAGATTTTTTTACAAGTGTAAGTGCAATAGGAATGCTGTTTGACCAATCAGATTCAAAGACTAGGGGCCCTATCATACACCTGGCGCAATGCGTAACGCAAATGTTGTTTGCTAGTTTCAGTTTGACGCAAGTGTTGTTTTGACGTGTTGCACCACCCTGTTTCAATAGCAAATGCATTTGCGCTCATAGGCGTTCTGCTCTAAAAAAGGAGGTGTGTTAAGGTACATTGCTGGTGCGTTGCTATTTTAAAATACACTGCTTTATAGACCAGCAGAGAGGAGGTCTTAAGTGCAGCTCAGAGTGTATCGGTTGTGTGCCTCGCTGAAACATTGCTTAATACACACAGGATGTACAGCAATATGCAAATATCTTCATAAGTGAAAAAAGACTCTTAGGGGAATGGGAGATGAGACTCTGATTGGTTTATTCTCAAAACACACCTATAACTCATTCAGAGAATAAAATCAACCCTGTTAGACCATGCGCTGCAGCGCAAAGTGGATTTTTCAGTCCTTAAAATAGCAAAAGTTGATTCGGAGATGCCCTTAATGTTTTTGTGCCCTGTGCTTTGAAATTTGCTCTAAGATCGTTAAAATAGAGCCCTAGAACTATTTACACTTATATGTGGCAACAGAAAAAAACATACTTATGAGGATTCAGATTGAAATATAAAAACATAAGACACCATATGACCAGCTTTTTGTCTTTTCTAAAGCTTGGAATAGTCCAGTGTAATGTTTAAGACTTTTAAAACTTTTGAACATTATTTAGCATATCTTGTTTCCTTTCATGTTTAGTTTGGGAGTAAAAGTCATATGAGAGTGAGTAAACAATGACAGGGTTTTGGTGATGAACTGTCCCTTTAAGGTCAGATGTTAACGCCATACAATGTATTTTCTTGTTAATTAGCTATTATTTCAAACTGAGAACAATCGCATGGCCATGCAAAGACAGAAATTGAGATCCTCTAGCATGACTATTCTTCTCTTTCACTGTTTCCCTCTCTTTCCATTGGTTCCTCAGTCCCCATGAGAACGTGCCCCTGGGGGTCTTTAAATACTTTATTGGGCTGTAACATTACCTTAATGTCTCTCAGCATTTCATCTGCCTACAGCCTAATGGGAAGTGATGGCAGCCATGTTTCTCTGCAGCAACGGCCTGAAACACATGGCTTCAGTTTCTGTTTCACAGGTGTGTGTGTGTGTGTTTTCTTTTAGGTAATGGGAACATGATGATGTCACTTACTGTTTGGAGTATCCAGTGTTCCTTTATGTGCAGGATAATTATATGACTTCTCTATCCCGCTCAGACTGTTCACACTTACGTAATCTGGATTTACTTCTAATCTAGACAGGAAAAGAAATTGAAGCAACTTGTTTTTCTCCTTTCATCATCATATCTTTCTCCGCTCTCTCACCTTCCCTCTTTCTGCAGATGAGCGATGAGAAGAACAGTGAAAGAGGTCAGACATTAGCAGGGCTATCTAATGACTGTTGCAGCTAGGCATTATGGGATGGGTGATCTGTCAGCGCCTGTCAGCGACGGGCCTTCCATTAGGGTTGCACCTGAGTGATGGGACACACATACTCTGCGCACACACACACACACACACAGGGCTCCAGACACCTCACAATATAACGGTTCCACCGCTGCTATGCATCATGTGTCATTCTAGAGCCCTCTATTTAATGACCCTGTCCATCCACACGCACACATCGCTCAATGTAAATTACACCTGACCCAAGGGGACAGACAGGAGGACAGCGAGAAGACTAGAGTGAGACAGCGTGAAAAGAGGAGATGTCTTTATTAAACTGAACATGAGACGCAGGTTATCAGACATGCACGCGTGTGAATCCATGTTATCAGTCATATGCATCTATTTGTGTTCTCTGAGGGCTGAACATCGCTTATTCTGCTACTGATATGCACATGTTGTTCTGTGTGAATCAGTCAGAGCTGCCACTATAACTGGATTGTTGAGCTACTAGAATGTTTAGCTAAATTCATTTCTATCAGTACAAATCCTAGTGAGCTGATCCTACTCTCTACCTACTCAGTAAAAAAATATCAGCTAATTACAGTTCCAATATTTTGTGCTTCATAAGCGTTTCTTGATTACTTATGGGTTGGAATTACATCATGGGATTTTGATCTGCTGCAGTTTAACAAAGTGACTTTTGTTGAAATTTAAGTAGTTTTAAATAATATAATGTATAAAAGAAATATCTAAAAATCATGTATAAAAAAAATCACAGAAAAAGTTCTGGCAGTTTATTACAAGGTTTTTGTTTCATTAAAAAACAAGACCAACCCAGACAGTATATCACTTTAAACTATTCAATATGATAATAAAAGTAAAATTTGAAACTTTTTAGGGTTAAAATTGTTGGAAGATCCCATAATGCAATTCAAAATCTATCACTCAATCAATCAATCTATCTATCTATCTATCTATCTATCTATCTATCTATCTATCTATCTATCTATCTATCTATCTATCTATCTATCTATCTATCTATCTATCTATCTATCTATCTATCTATCTATCTATCTATCTATCTATCTATCTATCTATCTGTCTGTCTGTCTGTCTGTCTGTCTGTCTGTCTTTCTGTCTGTCTGTCTGTCCGTCTGTCCGTTCGTTCATCCGTCCGTCCGTCTAAACAATAATTGAAGTCCATCCATCCATCCATCCATCCATCCATCTATTCAAACAATAATTGAAGTCTGTCCATCCATCCATCCATCTACCCATCCATCCACCTATCTATCTATTAAAACAATAATTGAAGTCCGTCCATCCATCCATCCATCCATCCATCCATCCATC